GAAGAGAAAAATAAAACCACAGAGAAAATATTTGAAGATTTGTTGGAAGAGAATTTTCCTGGTATGATGAAAGATGAGAATATATCCATTCAGAAAGCCCAATGAACGCCAAACAGGATATACCCTAAAAGAAAATCACCCAGACATATCATCATCAAACTCATCAAGACCAAAGACAATGAAAAAATCATGAGAGCAGCACAGGAAAAACGAAAATTACCTTCAAGGGGGCAACCAATAAGACTAAGCTCATATTTCTTGCAGATACCATGCAGGCAAGATAACAATGGGATGGTATATATAAAACACTGAAAGAGAAAAATTTCCAACCAAGAATTATGTACCCAGCAAAATTGTCCCTCGAATATGACGGTAAAATTAGGACATTTCCAGATAAGCAAAAATTCAGGGAATTTGTTAAAACCAGACCAACCTTACAACAGATGCTAAAGGAAGCCCTTTGGACAGAGAAGCAACAACAGCCAACAACAACTCACTATTAATACACATGATGATATAATCCAGAAACCAACCCAGCTATGGAATTATCCAAAGTAAATAAGCCTACAAGATTGTAAACAGGGAACCAGAGATATCAATTGACAAATTAGGACAACTACAAAACAAAAAAAGGGAAAAAACTGTCATTACAGAACTTGTAGATGGTAGGGAAGTTAAGACAACTACAAGAAAAAACAGACTGTTCTAAACTTGGGAAGAAAATTATAAATCACAGGGTAATCTCAAAGAAAAAAAGATAAACCTTCACATCAAAAAAGACCTGCATAAATATTCAACAAATACTAAAACAATAGCAATGAAGGAAGTGATAACATGATTCATAAAAAAAACAAGCTCATCATAGAAAATCATATGGAACAAAGAAATTGACACCATGAAAAAGTACATAATAAAAATAACAGCAACAAATTCATATTGGCCAATAATTACATACCTGGCAAGGGACTTATCTCACATTTATAGAAAACTCCAATGCCTCAACAGCAAAGGAATTAACAATCCAATTGAAAAATGGGCAAAAGACATGAACAGACACTTCACCAAGGAGGATATTCAGGTGGCCATGAAGAGATGCTCATAATCATTGGCCATCAGAGAGATGCAAATCAAAACAACAATGAGATACTATCTCACCCCAGCACTGATGGCAAGGTTCAAAGAGACAGAAAATAACAAATGCTGGTGGGGATGTGGAGAGATTGGGGCTCTCATTCTCTGTTGGTGGGACTGTGAAGTGATACAATCACTGTGGAAAGCAATATGGCGATTCCTTAGAAAGCTGGAATTGGAGATTCCATTTGACCCAGCAATCCCATTATTAAGTATATATCCTAGAGAGGTGAGAGCCAGGACAGGAACATATATATGCACACTCATGTTCATCACAGCACTATTTACAATAGCAAAAAGATGGAAACAACCTACGTGCCCATCGGTGGAAGAGTGGATGACCAAACTATGATACATACACCTTGTGTTAGATTGGGTTCTCTAGAGAAACACAAAAACCAACAAAGCATATATATATATAGAGAGAGAGAGAGAGAGAAAATTTATCTTAGGAGAATTGCTCACAAACGTATAGAAGCCAACAAGTCCAATGTCCCTGGAGGAAACGTCGGGCTGGCGGCAGCCTTAACTTCTGCAAGCGCAAGAGGCAGAGAAATTCAAGGCTGGCAGGCAGTACACTGGTTGTTGACTCCAACAAAAGACGAATCCAAGATCTCCAGGCCAAGTGGTGGGCTGCTCACTCAC